TTATGTGAGTTTGGTGATGAAAATATATTTCAAAATTTTCCAAGCTCAATGCATAAGCTTCGAAAACATCTAAAAATCGACAACTTTAAAATATATTCAGTTTGTCTGAATTGTGACAAATTATATACTAAAGAGGAGGTTGTTAATTCCTAGAATAATAACAAACAATTGCCAATAAAAAAATGTGCCATGTTGAATTTCCAAATATAATTGGATCCAGGCAGATAGTTACATATAGTTTAGTATTAGCAACACAAAATCAGTATAGTCGACCCTCTCCAAACTGATCCTGTCAAAACTGATAACCTGCTATAATTGGTCAAAAATCAATCCACCATACCTGTTCCATAATTAATACCCGATAACCTGCAATTTCTGATATCTGATAGTCATTATATTTAAGTTCTCGATTAGCTAAATAGTATCACGTGAGCTGTGTCCAATCAAATTGTATAAAACTTACTGTCTTTTACATAACATATGTTAATTTAATTTCGACATATCTATATCAAAGACCTCTTCCTAAAAATCTAAGTTGCATGCTATAAATACAAAGCATTTTGATTTTTTTTTTTTTCTTTGTACTGTACCCAGATCTGTTAGAGGCATTAAGATTGGTGGAATGTGGCTATTTTACGATATGTACAGTATAGTTTTACATTATAGAGTGTTCTTTAAAAGTGCTTAAATTATTTTAATTTATCGCGTTTTACAAGCTAAACACAAAGCAAGATACAATTAACGTTCTATACCCGATAATAAGTGACTAGCTATTTATTTATAATATTTGTCCACTATGACATTACGGTAAAATAATATAAAATTATAATTTTTAAAAGTTATAATTATAAAGAAATCTTACCCGTTTGTTTAATTTATTCTTAAATTAAATCCAATTGTAATTCTAATTATTTTTCAAGAATTGATCCAGCATAGATTGAACCTGTTTTTCGGCCTCTTCCTTTCAAACATCCTCACAAATACGAGATTGAAGCTTATGTAAAGACCTCATTGTAATCCCACCATCATCAATTCTCTCATCAACAATTCTCAGAGCATTGTGCAGAATATCCAACTGTTCCTTTCCGGTTAAAGGTTGTATCATGATTTCATTTTCTACTTGTTCTATTTCTGTAGCACCTTAAATAAAATCATTATCACTAAATTGTTGATGTATATCTATTCTTTCTTCCTCAAAATCCAACAAATCTTCAATTGACATTGGGTTACGAATATACAACATATCTAGCGTTTGTTGAAGCTCCTCAGCAGCCAATTCATTATCTGGATCAACAAGTAAGCTTTCTTCTACATCTTTAACAAGGGGGGACGAGACAATTGGTGTTCCATCTTCATTACGAAAAGATACAATTTTGGTGTGAAACCAGCAATTCTTGATTGTTGTAGCAGATACTTCATCCCAGGCAACTTTTACACATCTCATGGCTTGCAATTGATCAACTTTATATATATTAGTTTTTCCAGCTTCATCACGATCAATTGCATGTTGAAGTTGCATATAACAATAATGAAGCTTAAATGATGCAATAATGCTAGCATCCATGGGCTGTATCTTTGACGTTATATATGGAGGTAGTTTGAGTACCTTTGTATTAGTTAGAGTAAGAGTAGTAGTAGTATGTGAAGAAGCACCATCTAGGATGAGTAAAACATGACGATTTGATTCCTTCATTTCTTTGTTAAATTTTTCAATCCATTTCTAAAAATGGTGATATGGATTGATAATATTATAATCAATTTAACTTAATAATTTTCTTTATTAATACTATAACGCGTAATAAAATTTAGGCCATTTGAAATTGACTTTTCGTTTAATGTTATCCTCTCTCCATCTCCTAAGATTCCCCAAAAATTAAACAAATAGAAGTGACAGATTGATCGATATAATAGCCAGCGTGGCCGCTGGAATTTTTTGATATCTATGTTTAATTATATTAGTTTAATCCTCCCGTGTAAGCGCAAAATAACGTTAAATGAAAATTAAATTCAAACGGCCTTATTTTATTTATGTTAGGCGGATTCTAAAGTTATTGAATGTGGTATTTTACAGGTATGATATAATACAATTAAATAACTTAATTTTTTTTTCTTTTTTTTAATATTTTAATTTTTTTATTTTAATTTTTTTTTTTGTTTTCTTTTTTCTTTCATTGCGTTTTATGATATATGAACAGAGTTATATAAAAATATCACGAAGCACATGGAATTAACAGGTAATTATTCAATAATTTGTTTAAATC